GTATCTTCCTTCCCACACCCTACACTGGCTTCAAGGCAATCCGAGCCGGTCTCCTCACCGACACATACCTCGAAGCCCAATATGTCATGCAACACAAGAAGGCCTACGACGACATTGTGCTTGCCCAGCCAACTCTGCGGAGGATGAACGAACTCGAAAGGACTGGTCAGCTGTACGAGTACCTGTCGCGATCTATCGCGCCTGAAATTTTCGGTCACGTCGACGTCAAGAAAGCCCTTCTCCTCCAGCTCATTGGTGGTGTCACAAAAGAGGTCGGCGACGGTATGCGAATCCGTGGTGACATCAACGTCTGCTTGATGGGTGACCCTGGTGTGGCCAAATCCCAATTGCTTAAGTACATTACCAAAGTAGCGCCCCGTGGTGTCTACACGACTGGTCGTGGTAGCAGTGGTGTTGGTCTTACCGCCGCCGTCATGCGCGATCCAGTCACAGATGAAATGGTCCTTGAAGGAGGAGCTCTTGTGCTAGCTGACAACGGCATGTGCTGCATTGATGAGTTTGACAAGATGGATGACAGCGACCGAACAGCCATCCACGAAGTCATGGAACAGCAAACAATCTCTATCAGCAAGGCTGGTATTACAACCACTTTGAACGCTCGCACGTCGATTCTCGCGGCTGCTAATCCCCTATACGGCCGCTACAATCCTCGCCTCTCGCCGATCGAGAACATCAACCTCCCTGCTGCGCTCCTATCTCGTTTCGATGTCTTGTTCCTTATTCTCGATACCCCTGCGCGAGACTCTGACGAAGAGCTGGCTCGTCACGTCACTCACGTGCACATGCATAATGCTCATCCCGAGGCCCCTGGTGGCATTATCTTCAGCCCTGCCGAAGTACGACAATGGGTTGCTCGCGCACGATCATACCGACCAACCGTGCCAAAGGAGGTATCAGACTACATGGTCGGCGCCTACGTGCGCATGCGTCAACAGCAGAAGCGCGACGACGGCAACAAGAAGGCCTTTACCCACACTTCGCCGCGTACGCTGCTTGGTGTACTTCGTCTTGCACAGGCTCTGGCACGTTTACGATTCGCCGAACAAGTCATCTCGGAAGACGTTGACGAAGCTCTCCGCCTTACCGAAGTTAGCAAGGCCAGTCTGTATGCCGATGAGAACCGCGGAATCGATCACACGCCGAGCAGTAAGATCTACCACCTCATCAAGTCCATGGAGGCTAGCGGTGCTGCTGCTGTTGGTGATGGCACAAGGGGTGAACTTGATCTCCGCAGGGTCAGGGAAAGAGTTTTGGCCAAGGGCTTCACAGCCGATCAGTTTGAACAAGCTATCGACGAATATTCCTTGCTCGACGTAAGTATCACCGTCCAATGTTCTAGGAGGTTCACCGTACTAATGCTTCTGGATAGGTCTGGCAAACAACTGGAGAAGGCACAAGGCTTGTCTTTATCGAGGCTGGGTTGGAGGATGAGGATATGGATGCTGATAATGACTTCTAGAGCATGGGATTGGAATGTTGGCATTGGATGTAGTAGTGTCTGTTTACGGCGTACCAAGGCGTTGGATATCCGAACGACGTTGAGCGCGCGTCTACTTTGCTTGCAGCTGTTTGTAGCTTCGCATAGAAATTCCAATGAAGCAACGACGAACCAATGCTTCTTTGATTGTTGTCTACTGAATGTCGCGTGCGCGCCAGGGTCGCTGTCACATGCCAAGGCAGCCGTCTGCAAGCAAGCATCATCGGTGCGTGGTGAACCCTCGCGGGGTCGCTACCGAAAAGTGGGAGAGCTCAAGTCCCCCAGCCCTGTTTCACTGTACCCTCTCTCACAACAACTCACGTTTTCTCTGATTACTCATGTGGTGAGATTTCGCTACAAGCCTCGTCCACGGTCCTACCTTCTTAAAGAGGTTACTTCCAACAGCGAATCTCGCGACGCGGCAGAAACCGACAGATAAGCTTGCGCCAGCTGTTCGCATCTCCCTGCGATCTTCCTGTCAATCGCAAATTCATACAGATTCGCCTTCTCCAGCATTCTCAAACATGGCTCAAGGCGCAGCAAACAACTTTGCGCAATTCATGGTTGTGGGACGTAAGTAGACCCCTCCATGCTGCCTCAGCCCACTTCCACAACGTTCAATTGCGCCCCCCAGTGCCCCTGCTGACGAGCTCGCAGCAACATGTTTTTTCCTCGGAATCATGTTTGCGCAACTACCTTATGACTACAATGTCTTGTGGACTGTGCCTGCCGACCGAGCGACCTACTTCGACATTCTTGAATCGCACATCCAGTTCCTCTATGCCTCTCCTCCCATCGTGTCGCGCATCCTCAACCTAGCCATCGGCACCGGTCTCCTCGGCTTTCTCATCAAGCTCTTCAAGCCAAACCAGGCCAACATGCTCTTCGATGGCGCGTCGCTTGTTCTCTACATGGCTGGTATCACCGTATACCTCACCAACATCGTCAAGGGTTTCAGGGTCGTGACGGCAGGCATCTACGGAGACGTGAACAAAGCGGCCCCGGGAGAGATTACAGACGAGGACATGGGTGATTACATCTCGAGGGAGGACACGTTGAGGGTCTTTGCGGCTAGTAACACGATTCTGGCGCTCGTCTTGGTGGGTGTGCTGGTGCTGCAGGCTGGGCAATGGTATGCCAAGAGGGCCGAAGAGAAGGAGATTGAAGAATTCGAGCGTCAGGCTGAGGAGAAGAAGGGCGCAGGGAAGAAGAAGCAGTAGATCATCACTCCTCCGATGGAGTGGGCTGATGGGTAGCGGATGCGCTTTCCAAAGCATTGGGTTTAGGTCGAGTAGGCTTCCAGTTCTTATTCCTCTTTTGTCTTGTGCAATGATAAAGAGCTGGGATTTATTTGTTAGTATGCCGAACAAGTTTTGTAGGAACAATGAGGCGTGTAACAAGTACTTATGACATACATGGGTCTCTGTGCTCAGTATCCATCTCGATTGTGGCTCTTGATTTCTTAGTGATCAGTATGAACGGCCATTCTTCTCACTCGTACGATTTTCATGTTTCCTTGTTATCCAAAAAGCTCTCTGTTTGCTGTTACCACGTAGCGCCTTCCTGTTTGGTACACCTCAAGCAGCAACAGCAGCTCACATCTGCCGGTCTCGACCTCTCCAGTCGAGCTCATCTGTATCTCTACATCGACCAGAACCTCTTTCCTCCATAATTGGCGACGAGCCAGCTTGATCGGAGCACACCAACAGGCTGCTAGCGTTACTCATCTAATCGACTGCCATACAGTTGCAATCATTCCTTCTCACCGTTCACGAGTAAGCATAGGCCGAGCCGGAGACAATCGCTACTGCTGAATCTCGACACGTCATACAAGGGAAACCAGTCGCAATAACCAACAATGCCGCAGCGCGAGGCATCCGCCGCTTACGAACGCAAACAGAAAGCAAACGGAATGATACGACGAGACCAGAGCACTGCGATCTCAGCCAATGGTCTACTCAGTAAACAATTCGCCAGCATCACTGACGTTCTTCTCAAAGCAAGCCAGCGACGTGATCAGAACCTGCAGCAAAGGCCGTCGAGACCAGTGCCCAACTCAACAACGTTCAGGCCTGTGAGCAAGCCTCTTGTCGCCGCTGAACCAGAGCTATCACAAGTCAACGCTTTCGGTGACGATCATATCGGTCTTGAACAAGTCAAACAAAGCAATGAGAATATTGTCGGGATCAAGTTGATGACGGCTGGTACTGATGAGGGACACTCAGGTGAGCATATACGTATCCTGTCATTACATCCAGTCCAATTCCATTGACTCGCAAGTAGATACGTTGGAGACACAGACCAGTCTCCGTGGCTGTGACGTACCGGAGTATGCCGACAATCCCAAGATGATGCTCGCTGAGCTGGAATCGTCGAGCCCAGGACATTCAGGTCATGATGTGAATGAGGAGCTTGACGACAGCTATGGGCAAGAGAACACCCGGGTAGACATGAAATGTGTCTCGTTGTTGATGAAGGGTACCGCCGTTGAGCACGTCAACGGCGCGAAAGACACACCTACAAACCCCAGCGTAGATGAGGCAGACGCCTTATCAATCTTGGCTAAGCGTCTGGGCATCGACAGTAATGAGAACAAGGCTTTTGAAAGTATCGGATCCACGTTTGATGAGCTTGACGAGCGATTATCTAATGCAAGCCACACCGAGGATAAAGACAACGACCTCAAAGCTCTCCGTGAAGAGCTAGCGGCTGTGTTTTCGCCACCCTGCGATACAACCTCTCGAGACTTCCAGCGTACCACTAGGGACACACCCGTCAATAGCATGAGATCGAATCCTCAAGAGCACGCGGTTGAAAATCTCCAGCCAGACGACACACCACCTGCTGCTGCCTTGATATTGGAGCCTGGGGATGCTGAGTGCAAGGATGTCCAGGTCGGGTGCACACAACCCTTCAGTGACGGCATAGATGAACAGAAGACTCAGAGAAAAAAAGAAACGATGCTCGAAAGGGAGAACGAAAAGCTTGAAGCGACCATAAAGTATGTTCTTGAGGAGGAGAAGAGATACCGTGCAATTGAGGAGAACAAGCGCCTCAAAACCCGTCTGATCGTCTCTAACCTGGCTGCTGATGTGGATGATAAAGCCATCCGTGCCTTCTTCGCTAAATATGTAACGGAGATGTAAGTAGTTAACCACATCTACATGTCCAACGAACACTATACTAATGCTTATTTCATTAGCCGCAATGTCACCATTGTATCAGTACGCGATCCAGTCAAGAGGACTAGAACAGCGTACGTCGATATGTACAGCAGGAAAGTAGCGGTTCGTGCATCGTACGAGGTCGGAGGTATCTTTGGACTGGTTGTGAAGATCAAGTTGGCAGTGGAGTAATGGGGGTCGAAGGGTGACTTTTGTGTATGTAAGTCGTCAGGGCCATGGTGTATTGCATCTTCTCAAGAGACCTAATCAGTAGCTATGTTATAAGCAATACATGTCTCTCATACACTATACAGCAGCTCTGTCAAACAACCTGTCTCTCAAGCTCCTTTGTCACTTGCTAACGCCTTCTCCAACTCACGGTCAGCGCTCAATTCCTTTTCTGCCCCCTCTATCACGCCCCTGAGTCCCTTGGCACAGGCGTCCAACTGCGCCCTCTCCTCCTCATCAAGCTGAATCGGCATGGCCTTGATGATACCCTTCCGACCTACCACTGCCGGCATCGACAAACAGCAGCCCAACTCAGGTTGGTAGAAGGACAATGGTCGAACAGAGCGTGAGTCGAATAGGATATACTTGCAGATACTAGCCGCAATGTTTCCGATGCCATATGCAGTACAACCTTTGGCCGCAATAATGGCACCTGCTGCTCCTCGGGTATGAGACGAGATTTGGCTTTTGAACTCGGAAGTCAATGTGTTTGGCGGGAGAGCAAGCGCGAGCGGTGTTGTGCCGATTGTAGCACTTGACCAGGCGATCTGTCTCTTGCATTAGCACATACATAACCTGGATGTCTTCCTCGATTGAGTCCTTTTTTCGCCGCAAAGATGGGTGAGGAACACTTACAAACTGGCTGTCTCCATGCTCCCCAAGCACATACGCGTCAATGCTGTTCGGTGCTACCTCCGCCTTCTCCGCCAACACACCCCTCAGCCTCGCAGAATCCAAACTCGTACCTGTCCCCAACACCTGGTTCTCGGGTAACCCAGACAACCTCCTTGCAAAATATGTCAAGATGTCCACTGGATTCGCCACCAGTAGCAAGATCGTATGCGGACTGATCGGCGCCATGGCCCCAAAGATACTCTCCAGAATATGCAGGTTCCTGGAAAGCAGCGATAAACGTGATTCTCCAGTCTTTTGTTTCGCGCCCGCGGTTATGACGACGATGTCGGCTTGGCCAGCGTCTTTGTGAGTGCCTGCTCGGACTTTCACGCCGCTGCCGCCACGGTACGTTGCGTCGTTCAAATCGCGGACTTGAGCTTCTAGTAGGGAGGCTTTGAGGTCCACGAGGATTACTTCTGAGCAGATGGGTTGGAGGATGAGGGTGTAGGCTAGGGTGGAGCCGACATCTCCGCAACCGAGGATTGCGATTGTGGTTTTTAGCTTCGGGGATGCCATGTTTGTTGCTACTCTGTTCTTGTGCTAGATGCGAGTATAGTCAGATGAGTACGTGAATTGGTGTTTCGAAAGGTTACGTAGTGAGAAACGTAAAAGTGCGAGGGTCGTAGACGTTTGATTGTAAGAAGGAAGTGGGAACGCAATGCGATCATCCGGTGTTGAATGTACCTATTTGTACGTGAGCCCGTAGTCGCAAGTTGTGGTTCGTCGCCAAGGCCTGGGCTGCAGAGAAGTGGTGTGATGTATGGTGGAGCTCAGCCACTCACAGTTCGCCTCACAATGCGAATACGTGCTTACAGCACCAATCCAACCGCGATGTTACGGAGACTCTCATTGTCGTGTTTATTTGGATACATGATACATCACGGCTTTGACTCGGATCATGCACTAGATAAATCGAGTCCTCAGAACATCTGCTGATATGCCCACTGATTCTGCACATCGTCCTCCAACGGCAGCGTCGTCTTCTGCAATTCCTTTGCCACTTGATCAGCCTCACCCCAGACCCGAAGCAGGTTTCCTCCTGCAATCTTTGCGGCATCCTCATCGCTGATTCCTTGTCTCAACAGTTCGGCGATGAGATCGGGGAACTTGGACACATCTTCTAATCCCTCCGGCGTCTTTTCAATGCCGTCGTAATCTGTGCCGATGCCAACGTGATTATAGCCAATCAATTCTCCAATGTGCCTAATGTGGCGTACCACATGCGCCAAGGTATTGTTCTCTGGAACAAACTCTGGGAATGAGTTCGGTGTCCCAGAGTCTTTACAGGACACGAATTCTGGGTTGAAATTGACCATGACAACAGAATTGCGCTGCTTCACTAGGTGAAGTATGTCATCCGGGACGTTTCGAGGATGTGGACAGATTGCGTGTGCGGAGCTGTGACTGAAGATTGGGGGTGCGATGCTACCAGTCCAATTCCCTTCGCCTCGGCCTACAAGGACATCGCGCATAGTGTCTTGACTCACGTGCGCAAGATCCACCAACATTCCCAGGCGATTCATCTCTTTTACAAGGTCGCGACCAGCTGGGCTAAGACCCTTCCAGTACGGTTTCGCGATATGCGCGCTGAAGTCGGAGCCAGTCTCAATTGCTGCATCGGCATATTTGTTGTGGCAGTTCCATGTCAGAGTTGCATATCTGACTCCAAGCTGATAGTAAAGTCGTAATGTAGAGACTGAGTTGCCGATCTGGTGCAGGCCTTCAATAGCTGCTGGAGCAATGAAATTGCCGCTTTCGAAAGCTTTGATGGCCTCTGCGCTGTTCCTAGATGGAGTGAAGTACTTTGGGTAGTTTTGGCCTAGGCGGTTAAACAGATCCAGTTGACCCAGCGTTGCCTTGACGACTATATATATTAGCAACATACTCGCCGGACGTTGTTTCGTACTAGCTTACTGTCATAGTATCTGTCATCCGCAAAGTTCGTCTCATCACCCAGTGGGCAGAGCCAAAATGCGCTCCAGAATGCACCGCCTTGTAGGCCCTTTTGAAGGCGAGGGATATCGACGTGTTGTGCTAGTCCACCATTCTCGAACTTGTCTGCAAAGTCGCTGCCGGACTCGTTGTAGATGTGGTTCTTGTATGTGCCTCGAATGAAGATCATAAGGTCATTATGGCCATCTCTTAGGTAGTCAGTATTCGGCCCTTGATGTCACATTCATACAGCTGACCAATAAGTGGGTTTTCCCGTAAGATCTTTACAGCTCTTTCTTCAACTGTCAATGGCTTTCCACATGTGTGCTTTTGGCCTGAAAACAACGTCCGGACTTCCGAGAACCATATGGTCGACGCGATAAGGAAGAGGACTACGAAGAAGATAACGTCATCAGCGCCGCACATGCGCCGTTTTGAAGAACGACGACGCGGTGTATGCGCGTGCTTCTCGCTGACGGGGAGGTCTCCTATCTTCTCCATAATCGATACTGGAGGTCAGAGATGGAAAAAGAAACATGGCGTAAGGGAGGCCGTATCATTGAGGTACATGTAGGTCTTGGCACAAGACGGACGGAGTTAGGGGTTTGGTCCGGAAACACCACGCGACGCGAACGCTGAAAACATCGTCAGAGCCACAACCGTCTCAAAGCACATCGCCAGTTTCTTGAATTATACTTCACCTCACAATCCACAGATATGGCGATAATATCAGCAAACACCATGATACGCAGTATCGCACTGTTCCATCTCACACTCGCAGTCGTCCTGCTCAAGAATCCCGCCCTGATATCAAACCAAGGGGTCGTTCTCCTGCTAGGAGAATCAATGCAACTTGTGCGCACTCCTGTTCCCTCTCTGCACACTCATATTTTCCCTGAAATTGCTAACACCTGTCAGCCGACACCCCGCGACTTCAACAAAACCTCCGCAGCAACGGCCTTCATAGCCGTCCTCTTCGCCTTCATCGGCCTCTCCGACCTAACCGCCCTCTCTCTTCACGAAGAAGTTTTCGACCATTTCTGGGGCCTACAAGCACCTATGCGTCTCCTCTTTCTCTTTGGTATCACTGCATACTCGTACATGTTCAAGGAAGGAGGCATGTTCGCTCCTAGGGGCGTCGACTTCAGGATGAGCACCGGTGCCAGTCTGAACAACAGCCTCATCTTCACATGGGGATTTATGGAGGTTTCGGCATGGTTCTGGGTGTTTACCACGTTGAGGGAAGAGCGGTCAGCGAAGGCCACCAAACTGGCTGAGAAGGAGGCTCGGGAAGCTGAGATCAATACGCTATAGGGTGGCTATAGGTATTTGGTTACCCTTCAGACACATCGAAAGCAAACCACCGACGCCCGATTTGCAAGCAGAGACTGGCTCTCTGCCGATATGTTATAAAAGAAAGATTGGAGAGATACCATTCTCAGTCTTCTCAGACATGCGTAGCTGAAGGATTGTCTGTACCTTGTGCAGATGTTAACAGCTTCGATGCAGTATCAAGGACTCTTCCAGCGAGACCGATGTCTACCTGCTTAGGAGACTGCAGCGAGACGACGGACGTTTACGGAGAACCACAATATACCAATGCACAGGGTCAGAAGATGTCTACCACAATCGGAAGCTTATCAGAAATTTTATCAAAGGCATCTAATAAGTGTAGCAAAGCGTTCCGCCTTCGGTATCCAGCAAATCCTTGAGCGTGGCATCGCCTGCTAGCGCCCCAATGTTGATGGTGAAGTCCAATGTAACATTCTTACCACTGTAATCAAAGGGTGTAATGGGACCACCGACTTGGTTCAGACGTGTCTCGAGATCCTTCTGTTGCCATTCCCAAAAGATGCGGTCAATGTTTCCATGATGAAGATAGAAGAGTGGATCTGCCATGTATCAGTCAGTTTTCTAGCGACACCAGAGAGGATGGGAAGCAACTGCATACCACCAGGGCTCTCCGCTGCGTTTCCCATGGTCCCTAGGATGCCACCAACACCGAAGTGACCGCTGGCATGAATGTTTGGGGGATCGAAGCTTTGCTTCTTCTCAACTGTTCTTGCAAGACTGGTGTAATCGGGCTGTGCCAGGACTTCTTCGACCAGATTACGATCTGCAAACCTGTTGATGATCCATGGAACAAAGTCACGTTTCAAGCAATGCGGAGTGGGCACATTCACGGCAAAGTGAGGAGGGGCGAATGGCCCGTTCATCACACAGCCTCCACCAGTATTGCCTGTAATGTTTAAGCGGTTCTGTTCCGGCGTAGCTTGGACAGGATAGCCGTTGCCACCGAATCCTGTCTCAGGGTCAAAGATGTCAGACTCAAAGGCATGGGTAGAGTTTTCATCCCGAGGTTCAGCATCCAGGGACCAGTCCCAGTATCTGCGTACAGATTAGTTCGGAAACAATTAACATTGAGAGAAGATATTCTGTCAACGGGGACAACTTACGGCTGGCCTCCGGTGTATCCGCATTCTTCTCTCAAGGCCTTCTCGTAGGTTGCAACGAGGTAACGGTGCCACAAGAGAAAATGTCCCTAAGAGTGTAAGGTCGCGAAAACGACGATGGAAAAAGAGGGCTTAACATACCACCCAGTGGATCTGAGGCTTTTGTAGCATATGGACGGCTTGATGATCATCGAATCGGTTCACGGTGCCTGGGAGACCAGATTTGGCCTCCGTATGCGACAAGCACAGGACCGCATCGATGTATGATTTCTTCTGTGGCACTGATAGCTGTCTCCTATGTTCTAGTCTTCAGCGATGCGTTCAGAGTTGGACGGTGGTGGGTCGTCTCACCACTCTACCCTTTTAGGTGGGTTTTTGCATGTTTCTAACCCTGTGGATGAAGGCAAGGCTGCAGCTGTTGACAATTGTGCCAAGCTCAGGCCGACAGGGAGGAATTCGAGAAGACGCATATTGATCGAGCAGACGCTTGGAGGATGAAACGTGGATGACGACAGTCGTTGTCACACGTGCCAATCCCTCGAGAAGAGAATCGTTTTAGGTGCTCCGCCGTATTGAAGAGCTTTCCAGTACACCCACAGCCAAGTAGGCACCTGAAGTAGCTGATGGGTTTCAGTGACCGACACTGTTTGTATGTTTTATAAGAAAGCTGTGCGAGCTGGCTGCCGACAGCCGATCTCGAGATTTGCGGTCAGATCGTTCTAATATCTTTCTGGACCTTTACCCGCGGCTGCATTGGAATCATTGTTGAGTATGGCAGATATGTTTGCCGACAATCTATCCCTGTTGCGTGTCAGACCAGTATTGCGAACACCACGGTGGCCCTGATCTACCCTCTAAGCCTGTAAGCTACCTGGCTATATGAACTTAAATCGCCAACTGTTCTGGAAGGGACCAGACCTTATTCTCGCTTTAAGAAGCGTAATCTCGTCACACTCTACATGTGCAATGTTGCTAACTAGGTATTATCGTTTCACTTCCCAATCTTCAATTCTTGGCCGAGTACACCGACAGATACTTTCATGCAATACGATCGATCTACGGATACTTGTATCCTGCGTCTGCCCCAATCTTGCCTACGCTTTTGAGGCTCGCCCGTCCCAGGAACTTCACGGTGCGGGACGAGAGGTCCGTGACTCCCGGAGGCTCACTCGAATATGGCTTGCCACTCCGTTTGCGAATGTGTCGATTGGGAAATTGTTGCCGCCTGCCGGGCGTAGATGCGGTTACCCCACTAGCAGGGATGGTAAGATTGCTCGGCTGCAGCGGGTGGTCATGGTTTCTCGGGATAGGCCCTCAATACGCGACATACTGACATGCACAAACACGATGATTCGACCACAGAATGGTTACACATTCCCATTCTAGATCTCGTTACTTCGTGAACGGTGTACTCACCTCTAATGGCCCATGAGCGATGCGGGCCCTGAACCCGACGTATAGACATGGATTCAGATCCTCTCTGATATTCGCCGGTGGTTAAAACATATGCGTTGGCCGACAACTGCGACAGAACTGGAGACGACTGTTCTTGATGAGCCACAAGCCATATTGCAATGCGTGCAACGTGATTTCTGTATATATGTATAACAAGGCATCCTACTGACGTGTGCGGCTGAGGGCCTACTGGCTCTCGACCATACTCTAGTTGATGTCACCAGTCTCAAGTTCGAACGCTTTTTCCTGCTCTATGTGGCCATGATCGGGCCCAATTTCAGTGCAGATCATGAATCTAGGCAGCCCATGTTCTTGATCACTACTGGAATTCTCATCCTGCTTTCGACTGTTGTGGTGGCTCTCAGGTAAGTACCGGTGACAGATACGGAGAGTCGATGTACACTTTATTGATGGCCATGTAGGCTCTACTGTCGTTTCTATCGCGTCCGCAATGTTGGACTCGACGACTACTTCATGGTTGCTGCACTTTTTGTTACGATTGGCATGGCGATCATGAATGGATATCATATCAGCTGGGGTACAGGGTATGCAAGAATGGCGAATCTCACGGAGGTCGAAATTGTGACTGACAGTGATAGACAACATTTGAAGTACTTGGATGTACCTTCAATGAGGATTCCAACTCTCAAGCACTTCTATTTCTACCAGTTGGTATATCCTTTGGCGCTGTTCCTCGTCAAGGCTAGCATATTGGCGCTGTACCATCGCATTTTTGAGCTGGTAGAATTCCGATATAAAGTGTGGTCTGTAGCTGCATTTGTCACAGTCTACACGATCGTGGTTCTTTTTGTCAACGTAAGAATTCTGTTACATTCTTCCGGCTTGCAGTGATATCATAGTAATTAACCTCATCAGGCTTTCGAGTGCAGGCCCAACCCTTCGCAAGCGTGGTCACCAACATTTCCCAAAGGTTGCAATAACCTGCGAGCTACCTATTTTGCGCTTGGAGCCATAAATGTTCTCACAGATATCACGATCTTTCTCCTGCCATTGAAAGCTTTTTGCAGTCTGCAACTAGATCCGAGGAGAAGATGGGCACTACTTGGTGTTTTCATGATTGGCGGTCTAGCTGTTATTGCTTCAATCGTAAGGATATATGCGCTTTGGTTGTACAATGTTACGAAAGATATATCGTATGACTCAATCTTCGTGAGTCGTCCTGCAGGGGAACATTAATTTTGCCGAATACTAATCGCCTTGCAGATCCTCCTTTTGTCACAGATCGAAGTGAACGTCGCGATCATATCCGCCTCGGCCCCAGCCATACGACCGCTTCTCAGGAACACGCCACTTTCTTTTAGCCAGCCGGAGGCGTATGGGAGCGGCTATCTGCGTACCATAGGCAGTCAATCAGCCTCTAACAACCGGAACTCACGGAGTCGTACAAGGTCCAACGGCCGAATCGAGCTCCTCACGTATGGTGGGCGTAGTACACCGGTAAAACACAAAGCCTTGTGTGGAGGAAGAGGCAACACGAGCGAGGAGTCAATCCTTATAGATGGCCGTATTACAAAGACCATGGAAACGAGGATAGATTTCGAGCAGATTAATGATGAAGAGCTGCCGCCGCGTCGGCTACCTACGAAGGACCCAAAGCGAGCAAGATAAGAGAATACATATATGGCATTTAATGTATACAAACCAGGGCTTCTACCACCATGCGAGCGGAGCTCCATCTGAACCGTCATTACGCGTTATGCAAGTGATATCGCTCTCATACCCAAGAGCCCACATGGTATGTCTCCATTTCGACATGGCGCGGTCGGCTCGTAGTATTACACTTAAAGTAGAAGCATCAGCATACCCGGAGTCAAGATGAAGGCTCCAAGTGTAAATGCGAAGACGTTTCCAGACACTATAACACTTCCAGCACGAAGGCTGGTGGCAGCTCCGGTGAATTGGGTTGGAGTAGCACTAGACGAAGTACTTTCCACAGTCGAGGTAGCATCCTCCGAGGACGTCGACACCCTGGAAGAAGTAATCACCCTCGTCGACGACGGCGTAACCCTGGATGTTGATACTGGTCCCAAAGTTGCACTCGAAGCTGGAACAGAGCCAAGCGTAGGCGTCTCTGACTGTGTAGGAACAGCTTCAACGAAAGCAGCGGTGAAAGACTCATACACAGAGCTTGCGGCCGCATCATCCGTCGCTGTGAACGAGAAGGTTGTGTAGTATGTCGTCTCAGTAGATGTAATCTCGTAAGTGGCGTCGAAATAATAGTAGTAGTAATAGTAGTAGTAGTAGGTATATGAGTAAGTGTACCATGAGTAGTCGACGACGACTGGGTCTGGGATTGAAGTGGCGGAGGGGGCTGGCGTGATGGAAGCAGAAGGCGAACTGGGTTGATCGATGCGGGGGACTTCAGAGTATCCTTCGGGGCATTCCTCGCCTGGTAGATGATAGTAGTCGCCTGTGCAGCATGTGCCCGAAGGTGGGATACATGGAAGATCGCCTGGTCATGTTACTTCGATGTATGGTTCATTTGGAAGGAAAGACTTACCAGGGCATACTGGAATCCATCCTGGAGTTAAACAATCGTCGAGCTGACGGGGTGAGACACCAGATCCTCCCTTGAGTGGTCCCGCTTTCCCAGCGAGTGCACAGTACCCAACGGCACTCAGTAGCATTAGTGAGCGAGTAAGCATGATTGCTAGTAGTCTGTGAAATGTCTTCAAGAAACGAGAGTTGAATTTTCGGGACTAAGATGTCTGCTGAGATCTGCTGGTGAAACAAAATCATGTTTCTCACTCAGCCCTTCCAGACTTTATACTATCATGCCACCGAGGATGCGATAAACACAGCCTGCCTGACAGCCTTCCTGGCAGCCTTCCACGATCACAAAAGTCAGCCTTTTCATCTCCACTGCTGCGGTTGTGTAATACAATTCTTGGCAACATGTTGCTGTCCCTAGAACTTCTCCAATAGGCCTTACCTCGGCACGCCACTTGGATGAAGTGTATAACGCCACGAGATTGCTATTGGTGAATCATCGTAGTACGCGAAGAATGCGAAAAAACAAGCGAAGCGTACCTGGGGGCCAAATTCGAGGTAGCCAATAACATGACGTGAAGTTCGTTGAACAATATTGAAAGTGGTGCTGCGAGTCGTATAGAACCTCAGCCGTAGTCCTAAGACGGTGAAATCGTCCCTCGTGCACGCCAGAAAGTTTGGGTCAAAGTAAGTACGCCTTGTGCCAAGGTGAGGTGATCTTATCTTAGGCACTTCTGCATGTGTGCGGTGTAATGGTCGATACTGAGGAAAGCTCAAAGACTTGGGAGAAGTTCTTGTGGCGGCGAGGCTGATAGAATTATACATCGCTGTGAATGATCGACTGAGCTTCGTTGATGTTGACCATATTGTGATCTTCAAGACGTCTTCGTGGGGGCCATGCGCCAGTTTCGTCTCCGCGTTCAGCTCGAAGGCGCTCGCAGATGGGCAACTACCATGAAGCTGCTAGAGGGGTGTCCCATTGTCAACTTGTTTTCAGCACTTCAAACTCCATATCTACATTTATAGACAATTCAAGCTGCAGTTTCTTCTTTCTGGGTGTAGTGGTGAAATAATCTGATGTTGTTTCGATTTCTGTGATGGGTACGCAAAGGTCCTTGTACTGGCACATGAGTAGGCGTATGCAGCGGGCGCGTTACTCCAGGAGTGTTCAGCTTCGGATGTGCAACTCGCGTCGCTTTCCATAGCAGATATATGGTGTCGCAGAGCTATTGTGAGTTGAAAGAATATATGAGAAAAGGGAGTTGATGAGATGTCAAACGCAAATAGTGGTTGTCGCGTGTAGAAGGTTTCGGTGATGGCGCCCTCCGAGCGATCGGGACCGCCCGCGTATCTCCCTCTAGGCAGGGTCCAAGGTCACGACTCCACCATTCGCCATCGCGTGTCCCCCACTCTCGCAAACACGCCGCTTACCTAGGAACAAATGGGTTTCTTCGCAAACTCTACTCCTTCTTCCTCTGCGCCTGGTGATTACGGCTGAAAAGTGTTGCTCCTGATTGAGACGAAACACGCCAGGCAATATGGAGGAGGCAACACACCTTAGCTATAATGATGCGATCGAAGAGCTTCGCGTCAAGGAGTATCCCATGTTGCAGGGTGAGTGTGTGTAGCTCCTCAGTTGGATGCGTACTTACCTTTCAGGCACGACTTATCTGGATCATGCCGGCACCACGCTTTACGCCAAGTCGCTGATCGAGCGCTTCTCTGCTGATATGATTGCGAACCTCTACGGCAATCCTCACTCCGCCTCCAATGCCTCCCAACTGACGACGCGACGAATCGAAGATGTACGACTGCGCCTCTTGCAAATGTTCAATGCCGATCCTCAGGAGTTTGACGTCGTATTCGTAGCCAACGCTACTGCCGGGATAAAGCTGGTCATGGATGCATTTCGCGATCAGGATGAAGGATTTTGGTATGGCTACCACAGGGATGCGCATACAAGTCTGATAGGGTTACGCGAGGTAGCGAAGGAGCATCGATGCTTCGCTTCGGACAACGAGGTCAATGACTGGATTAACAGTCAAGACGTTGGAGTTGGAGTTGGACCGGCACAGCTGTTTGCATACCCAGCGCAATCCAACATGAACGGGCGTCGCCTGCCGTTGGAGTGGGTACAACGCATACGCACGGGGAACAGAAAGCATGTCTACACTTTGTTGGATGCTGCGGCACTTGTCTCGACATCGCCTCTTGACCTTGGGAATCCTAACGAGGCCCCCGACTTTACCGTATTGAGCCTTTACAAAATGTTTGGCTTTCCCGATCTCGGCGCTCTGATAGTTAGGCAAGCATCAGCATCGGTATTCGACAAGAGACGCTACTTTGGTGGCGGCACTGTCGAGATGGTCGTGTGCTTGAAAGAGCAATGGCACGCGAAGAAGGTTGACTCGCTACACGAGAGGTTAGAAGATGGCACTCTGCCGATACATAACATCATGGCGCTTGATAGCGCAATGACTGTTCATCAGGAGCTCTATACATCATTGGACCAAATCTCGAGGCACACTACATTTCTTGCTCGGAAGCTGTACGAAGGGCTTTCGTCGTTACGGCACGGGAATGGTGCAGAGGTTTGCCACGTATACAAAGACCCGGCCTCCACCTATGGGGATTCGCTTACCCAGGGCCCAGTTGTTGCATTCAATCTTCGCAATCAATGCGGTGGCTGGGTAAGTAATGCAGAGGTGGAGAAGTTGGCTGCAATCAAGAACGTCCAACTCAGGACCGGCGGGCTTTGCAACCCTGGTGGTGTTGCCTCGTCACTAGGATTAGCACCCTGGGAGATGCGAGAGAACTTTTCTGCCGGGCAACGATGCGGTAACGACAACGATGTCATGCGTGCGAGACCGACCGGCATGGCACGCGTCAGCTTCGGAGCTATGAGTACCCTATCGGATGTCGACAAGTTTGTTGACTTTGTGAGCGAGTTCTTCGTTCAAGAATGTCTGCCGCTAGATGTGTCTCCAATAATGTCTGCCGCTGTAGAGCCACCAACGCAAAGTCGCTTGCACGTGGAAAGCCTATCTGTCTACCCTATCAAGAGTTGCGCAGGGTTCAGCGTACCGCCGGGTAGAGCATGGGAGGTGCGCCCAGAGGGTCTTGCGTGGGATCGTGAGTGGTGTTTGGTCCATCAAGGCACTGGAGCAGCACTGAGCCAAAAGCGCTACCCGAAGATGGCTCTCATACGTCCCAGTATCGACCTCGAGAAAGGATTGCTACGTGTGAATTTGGCGGGCGCCCTACAGACCAATACCGACCTGCATGAGATCACTGTACCTCTTTCCGCGGATCCACGGATGTTTACAGACGAAAGCGTATACAAAGAAGCGAGAGCTAAAGTCTGCGGAGATTCTATCGAAGCCAAAACGTATAGGGCAAGTGACATATCGTCATTCTTTACGCGAGCTCTCGGAGTGGCTTGCCACCTTGCGCGCTTTCCTGCCGTTAGCAACGGGAGTGCCATCTCAAGACACTCGAAAGCGCATCTGCAGAAATACCAGAAAGCGGGCGCTATGCGAGTACCCGGCGCCTTTCCAGAAACGGTTCCCATTACGCCCGGCGCGTGCGTTTCGAAGCCAATTTTGCTAGCAAATGAGAGTCCCATCCTTACTATATCACGATCGAGCCTCAACCGCCTGAATGAATTGATCAAAGCGGAGGGCGGTAAGGCGGCGCAAGCAGAGGTATTCAGAGCCAACATTGTGGTTGCGGAGAACCCAGCGTACCCGCCTGGGCTGGAAGACCCATATGCGGAAGACGACTGGCGCTACCTCCAGATTGGCCGGCAGTACTTTGAGATGCTGGGAGCGTGTCGTAGATGCCAGATGGTTTGCATTGATCAGCAAACCGCCGAAAGAAACCAGGAACCATTTGTAACGCTTTCCAAAACACGTCGTTTTGATGGTCGCGTCTACTTCGGAGAGCATACTTGCCATCTGCCCTGGGATGATGTGTCATCTCCCCTTCGACAGAATCCCACCATCACGGTCGGCGATGCAGTAAGCCCTATTAGAGAGGATGAGATACATCAGAACAGTCACCTGCAGGCCCTCGTAGGCTAAGCCGCCCAGGCGGCCCGAGGACTAACTTACGGCCCTTGCTGGAAGGCGGCATAGCTGAGTATACCTCTGGACCACACGGTCGCAGCGTTCGCGCGTGGCTTCAGATGGTATGTCGTAGGACGCGGTCATTGGTCAAGTAGCTATGTACAGTGTAACAGAGATTAGACGGGCGGGACGCCGAATACACGACCATGTAGCAGTCGAGACGTTGATTTAGGCAACGTGATAGGCATACGCAATCCACGGGAAGGCCCATGTGTAAGCGCTGGTAGTGATGTTTCAACGGCGAACCAGAGTCAGGTGTCTGTACGTAAAGCTGGTGGCAGATGGCATGAGACGGAAGCGCGCGCGCCCTCCGAAGCAGCGTACAGATACACAGCGGCTGCAAGCAAGACATAAAATCGTCTAATGCTCCCGCGAGGTGAGATGCACAGCTTGCACACAGCTTCAATCTATTTCAAGCAACATTCGTTCATGAGGCACGTTGACTTGCTTGCTACTTCGCCTTATTCTGACGCCAACGTCTCATCAGCTCGTCTCAGATTCTCTTACCGGGCAGACTACTAGGTCGCCACGTTCAGCTTCAGATTACGAGCTTGCCTCCCGCACAGCGACCACGCACATCACACACCCGAGAGCGACGCGGCGAATCAGGCGCACCTTCTGGCCGGTCAAAGTCTCGAGACCTGCAGGGGCCGAACAAATCACATATCTTGTTTCAGCGTTGGGCAGCGAATCGAATCCCTGTGGAGGTGTTCGTCTGTGCACGGGGCCTGCATATCCTAGTCCTCGGCGCTTAGAGAACGCTGGGACTCCTCTCGCCCAAAAATAACCGGATACGACCCATACAGCGGCCAACAACAACAGCGCATCCGCGCCAAGCTAGTGTCATAGTACATACAATAAACACTCTCTTCCCCAGGCGCCAAAGAGTACCTGTCTGCTGGTCTCGCTCTCTCACTCTTCCACTTTGCTGTGGACGAAGGTATAGCACAGCTCGCAGTAATACCGACAAGCATCCAAGTCATTCGTTCAACTCAACGGTATACTCAACACCATGGCTGCCACCGACTCCAAACCCACGCTATCTACACTCAAGACACCCATGTCTGCCACCTACCCCTCGGAACTCAGGTCGCCCATGATCACATCTGCAACAACCCCTATCTTTGCCAATATCAAACGGGAGGATTCAGATCTCAAGACACCCATCACACCACCGACAGCCTATCTCGAGTTCCTCAAAAACTTATCACCTGTCCTGTCAAGCCCAATGTCCACTGGTACTAGCTCCAGGTTTGTCTTTGGTGACAGCCGCCCCACTTCAGTAACATCATCGGCGTCCAGTGCATCATTCACATCAACATCGGCTCCGGCAGACAAAACTAAGAACAAAGATTCGCCAACAACGTCAAGGTCAAGCAGCTGCAGCAGATGCGACACCACCAAGGATGAACCGCCAATGTCTGCACCTCCAACCAAGGTCCAGACGGTCACTATCCCACCACCATCACCTTTCACACGACCCCATTCTGCGCGGACACCCCGCCTTTACATCCCCCAATCACCCTATTCGCCCGCTGCAGTACGGTCACCAGCCAGCGCAAAGTCTATCCAATCACCGTTTTCTGCCGTCTCATCACCCAAAACCTGGGATGCGGATAAGAAGACTAGCCGCTCAAGGCGCGTTAGTGTGCGCGAAGTTGTTACACGGACAGTGACATACAGTCGCACACCCGTCGACGCAAAAGCTCCACAGTTTCCGCAAATTGACCCCGCACCCCGCGGTAAGAGGAGGAAGGTCGAGTAGAGATGCGCGATTGTTGCGCAGACCACCGCTTCTGGACTGCTTGGCTTCAGCATGGGCAACCGTCCTGTGCTACTCCATGACCCCTTCAAGCTCTGCACTTGCGCCTGGCCGTAACGCTTGCATTCCCATTCGTCAAATGTCTACCATTTTACATTATACACGACTTACACCATCCAACCCGGCCACTTCAACTAATAACTCGGGTCCAGGCGATCCGATCGCAACATTATCTTCAAACAACATCATCAATCACGACACGACATAACTACCTCATCACTCCATCACCATCCATATCCCACTTTTCTTATGTTTACTACCCCACATCAATAGAGAAACGACGTTATGGCCACGTCACTTCTCTTTCATGACCCTGTCACGGCGGAAAACATGTCTTTGGCGTTGGGGTTCACCATTACATTTTACCACATTTTACTAGCGGATACCAATATATAGCGGGCAGGAATGCGCCGGCGCTGTTTGATTGGTTAAGCGAGATCCAAGCACGGAGATTACCTCTTCGATTTACTTGAGGGATAGTAGCAGGGCGATGCGCGCGCGACGTGGGTGCGTGCTGGGCGGCAAGTATCTTGCATGCAGGTTTTCTGGTATTGCAGGTGTGGGCATCTGGAACGGGCCTTGTGGTGATAGGCCCAGCGGTAAAAGAGACGAGTGAGGACAATAGCCCTTGCCGCCGCAACTTCTTCACTTGAACAAGCTAGCGAGGTCAGATGGCAATGGTTCTCCACTTGCATCTGGGTTTCGAATCTGCCAGTACTAGCCAAAGAGAGAAAGAGAGAAATGAAACACGATACCTACTATCCAAATCATGTTCTCTCGCACATGCTGATCTCGATTGTCTTGCTCGACTGACTGGGGTGGGTATACCACACAACATCCCTACACATAGAACCACACACCGCTCGGTCACACCGGTGAGAAGAAAAGTCAACAAACGAGCCTCCTCTGACCATTTGCTCTATTGACAGACCGCCTTGTGACGCGGGCACGCATACCCGCCGTAAGAAGCCAATATTTCCCCAGATAACGCACGGCAATCTATATGCGCTTAGTCTGTCCAATCAACCTCGACTAGACGTTAGCCACCTTTCGTGAAAACAGGCCACATTCATCTGGCTTCTTTGTTTATTCCTTTAACCTCGGCAAAAGCATGCAATCGAGCTTCGATGCATCATGACCTGCAGGTCTCGCCACTCTCTTTCGTGCCCGCCTCAATTTTGCAGAAGGAAGGGCAAAAAAGGCGTTTTGTTACCCATTTACCGCGTATGACTGACTGTGCAGAAAGAAGCAAAGAAAGCTCAGGCCCAATGTTTCCCAAGGCTGCGTAACCTTCCCGCTTCTCCTAGCTCGGTATACCAGCTGGCGAATGAGATGAGCGAAGTGGTGTGGACAGGGATAACACAGGGGTGGGGTGGGCGCTTAACCAGGGCTGTGGAGACGGGTGGCGCTAGGTGGGCTGGGGGTCGCCGATTCTTGCGTATGGTCATGTGAAGAGGAATGGGGATGCGGATGAGGTTGCGGATGGGCTATTGAGTTTGTTAGGCTAGTGCAGAAGTGTAGTCTGAGCTAGTTATGCCCATTGATTGAAGGGCATGGGTATCTGTTGATGGGGTAATGTGTGAAAAGTCAGGTGCGAATGAATAGATGCGAGACACACACACACACCAGCCACACGGGAAGGACGCTGAGGATCGGGAAACGGCATCATCGCTCGCGGAGCAGCACGCCGCTAATTTCATGCACGTCTGATTCCCGCTCTCGCTGTTCGAAAAATACTCTATGTCGTGACATGGCATGTACAAGAATCCTTCGACGCGAGACACGATGGAATACATAACGCCGGAACAGCGCCGAGCCGCGTCTCTTGCGCATAATCTTCCCTTGCCTTGGCAGATACTTTCACAGCCCACATCGTACACTCCCAGCGGCACATGGCCAAGTGTACACTGCCGACTCAGCGAGAAGCGATTTACGGCGTCCCGACCGCGCTTGTCCTGACTCATGTAATTGAACTTCGGGATTAGGAAGTCGTGCCGCAAAGGATTTCATCGGTGTGCTATCATCCCAGCGCCAGCGGTGTTGCGGCATAGCACGCAGAATAGCGACGTCCTTCCTATGTCAGACGCGCTTAACGCCATTCCCAAGACCATGGCTAAGGGGGAGGACGGCTGTGATGGGGCTTAGGCCTTTGGGATGGCTACGCCCTGTAGGTCGTGTTGGAGGTCCGCCTGTGAGGCACGGCATAACAACCAACACCTTCAGACTTGAGACGAGAAAACTTCCGACATGGCTATTTGTTCGGAGACTTTCTCGCATATCTAGATCGGGTAGTGCACTCGGCGGAATAGACCGCCGCTCACCAACAGGCTCACATAAACTTTGCGCTTGTAGCGTCACATCACACGTCGACTCGACACCAACTCCAACAGGCAAGAAAGGGCGATGGGCGTGCATGTATGTTAATCACATATCTTACTTACATGCAGCGGAGAGGCTATCAGATATGCCCGTCGAACCTAAAACCGTTTAATCGCATGAAGATCGCACCATCATCGTTTTGTAGACTGTGCCTCGTTCTTGCAGACATTAGTGAAGAAAAAGAAGCGATACCAGGGCATAGGGCTGGAACATCGCATCATGAGATTGGAAGGGTGTTGTGCTGCAGGTCGAGAATCAGGCGGCCTGGTACGAAAAGAGCTACGCCTCGGCTTGCAGAAGCGAAGGAAGAGTATAGTTTATGAGTCAAGGTTTGTGGCACATGGGTTTTGTCTCTCATACGTAAGTTGCTGGCGCCACACTGATTATCCGGTGTTGTAGATGAGATCGTCTCCGATGACTTTGGCGAGTAGATGCGTTCAGATGAAGAGCTGGTGGAGGAGCTTTACTTGTAGGGGTTGCCAGGTTTTGAGCAATTAGGCTGGTAACATCACCAACTTTCGCAAAGCGGTGGGCATCGGGTTGACATCAGCTGTTTGGGAACTCCAAGCTCAGGGTGTATGTTCTTTCTATATTTCTGGTGGTAAGTCTAGAGTCCAGCAGTAGGTCACTCTACAGTATCAGACACGTCCTACATGCTCAAATGCTCTCTCAGCTTCGCTAATACCCCGGCAACGACCTTCTCGTTCTTACCTTCTTGCCTCTTGCTCTCCCTTGTTGCAACCTTTTCCAACTGTTTAGCCACATCCGTATTTTCCCCGGCTTGCCAATACGCTTCCGAGCGCTCCACAAACCGCACGAAAGCTTCTAACACAACTTCTTTTCCTTCCCAGCTCTTTCCACTAAGAGCCTTGTCTAGTACTGGCCAGATAGTTTTCGCAGTGATTGGCTCGATCTTTTCGCTACCCACAGCATTAGTGATCTGTAAGACACAGTCTGCGACAGTCTTCGCAGCAGTATGTTTGATGGCCCATTGTCTGCTTTCCAGATGATTCTCAGACAGAGCAAGTATCTCTTTCAAGTAGAGAGAGACCGTGCGTGAACCTGCAACATGATCATCCCAGGTCTCTGTGAAGCTCTTTCGGACGTTCTCTTCCGAGTCGTGCTTAGCCAGGAAGATGAATGGTAGTAGTTCCGATGCAAAAGAGGTGAAGCGGTCCGTAGCATATAAGGAGATAGCGCGCATAATGTCTGCGGCTAGCAGGCGGTTCCTGTCGCTGTTCTCTTCGGATTCGAAGTACAACTTGTTCACAAAGGCGACAGTGGAAATGATCTGCTTATCTGAAGCGAGTCGGGCAAGATAGCCAGCCGCAGCCGCATACGAAGAGCTAACAGTCTCATTGCGGTCGTGAATTTGCTTCTGGACCAACTTGAGGAAGCTGTCAGCGTACGGGTTGAACAGGAAACGGTGTCGTGTAGCGAGCGTGACCAGAATCCTCGAACATCCCACTTTTGACGGTAGACCGACTGCGTTCTTCATCGCAGCCTCAATACGCGGCACAAGAGCGGCCATAGTATCTGCGTCTGCCAGATCTAAGCAGCGCTCTACAGATTCGGTCAATGGCGACGACCGCACGCTTGCAAGTCGCATGTCGTCGATCTTTTGCTCTGTGAGGTTGTACTTGCTAGCGTTGAGGTGTACGTAGTTGACGGCTTCGGGCTCTAAACTACTGAGCAATCCAAGCAAACTCTCAACAAGCTTTGGCACATGTGGGTTGAGCGTTTTGGCGTTACTCTTCTTGACGATTTGGAGCAACGTGTGCACCGAGAAAAGGCGTACTTCTTCAGCCGAAGATTCTAATCCAGAAGTTGAAAACAGGAACGGTATAACGCGTTCAAGCTGGATAGTTGCAGATTTGTTTGAACCATCACCGGCTTCCAGAGAACGTGTCAGGATGCCAGTGAGGACGCGGGCAAGAGATGCTGCCGCAACACGTACGGTCTCTTTGATGTCATCGAGAACCTTGAAGGTTTTGCCCCAGATTGCGTCGAGATACTTTTCATACTATACGTCATTGTTAGTGTGCGCCATGGTTCGCACTATGACCTGCTTACCTTTTCGATGCTTCTTCCCTGCACAAGATCCGCGATAGCCGCGCAAGAAGCCTGTCGAACGCGCCACTCTTTCGTGAGTATGCTCACTAGCAGATCATCCATTATCGCATCGAAGTGCTTGTCGATAGTGGCCGAAGAGTCCTTGACGAGCGCATTCCAGATATCGTTCATCGAGCGTTGTACGTTCGTGTTTGGGTCAAATCTGAGCTTGTGTTAGTATGCCTGCCAGTCTATAAGGTTATAATAGTCCGCTCAGACAGAGAACATACCGATACCGATAGACCTTTGGATAAAGCTTAGGGTTCTGAGCCAGATATCCGTCGACACTAGAATCGGAGAAGATGTTGCTTAAGCCGAAGCGACCAAATGCGGCTCGACTTGACCAGATAGAGTTATTGGATGCCATTGACATAAAGCGATACACTAAACTTGAGTCTCCGACCTCGGCTGCCAGATTCAGAATATCCTTGTATGTTGTGATTGATCCATCTCCAGTTGGCAGCGCACCAGGCTCGAAAAGTTGCGTATCGTCCGTGACAGTACCAGCCATTTTGGACTTGTTGTCCGAGAACGAGCCGACGAGATCGCGCACAAGATCATCTTTGAGTTGACGGTCGCCCTTTTCGTACACCAAGCCCAATCCTCTCGAAGCTGCTTCCTGAACGACCTCGTCGCGATCAGAGAGACAGTTCTTGAATGCTACCTGACATTGTCCAAGATAGCCTTGCATTTCAGGCTTGTGACCACAGTACTGTAGCAGACAAAGCAGCCATATCACAGAAGCTTTCTTCAACGAGGGTTTAGTTTGAACACAGCCCTTCAGTGTCTTCTCTAGAACCGCACCAAGTGTCTTCTCACGCTTGGGCCCAGCTGGTGTCTGTAGAGGCGCATCCCATGGATTTTGTGGTTGGCTGGGATGTAGTATGTCGAGCTCGGAAGTCAGAGCCTTCGAATCCCAACCACTGGCGAAGCAGCTTAATGCTTCACCAACGGAAAAGTGTACTTCTGGCTGACGAACCTCATGCAACTCATAGAGTTTGTCGGCGATGGCCTTGTACTCTACTGTTTCCTCAGCTCCGGCTGCAGCTTCCTCTGTGATCATAGAAAGATGGCCCAAAGCCAAGATGGCACTGATCGTGCCTGTCTTAGCAGAATCGTAGATGTGCTGAGCAATATCTTCAACCTTTGCATACTTGGAAAGTAATGAGGGGGTAATGACATAGAACAGACTGAGCTGATCGATACAAGAGAAGGCTGCACCTTTCAGTGTCGCGTCCCGAGATTCCTTCATAATCTCGACCACTGACTGCAACAGTTGCTGGATCGGATGATCATCTGTGATTGCTGTGGATGCTGCATGGCTTCTCCAGAATGCCCTGCTGTAGTAGTAGCCGAGGGCAAGAATTATGCCGCTGATCTGATTGATATCAGCGCCGACTGCTGACTTCCAAGTGCTAAGCTTGTCGAAGAATGCTACTTGGGCGGTCTGAAGGGCGTCTTGATTGATGCTTTCGTGAGATGCTAGCAGGCCATACGCGTGGGCAGCTGTAAGTCGTCGTCCAGCGTTGTTGGCTGTGATGGATGGTTGTAAAGCGCGGAAGTCTCGGACGATGTTCGCTTGGACCCAATGACTTTGGGGCAGCAAAGACAACATTCGCACGAAGGAAGTACCAACATCGCCAGTGTCACTAATGTCGTCTTGGGTAATCTTGTCGAAACTGGCTCGCAGTATCACTGCAAGCGATCGAGCATGGGTCTTGTCTGCCGCGTATGCACGAAATGCTTGCCGGGCGCGCATATCCGTAGTCATCTGGGCATCAAGTTTCCTTTCCCAATCTTCGGGAATCTCGTCAGCTATGTCTTTGTCGAGTAAGGCAGACTGCATAGCGACGCTGGAACAGAAGCTGATGACGACTGGTAGAGCCTCTGGATGATGCTGGTAGAAGTGTTGAATCTGAACAAGAGCGTCCTCCGACTCGTCAATGTCCATGGCGTCCTCATCCTGCCCTTGCTGTACGATGATGAAGTTGACCAGCTTGTCAAAGTCCGGAAATTTCAGTGTACTCTGTTCGCGTTCACCAGGGGGGGTGTTGGACATCTTGAACCAGTACGGATCGAGACCACGACGTCCTTCCTCGATGACCTCATGCCTTTCAGAAGCGCCTCCACTGACTGCAAGAATATCTATCCACCGTGCTAGCACATCCTCGTAAGGAAGACAACGATTGGCAAATCGTGTCGCAACATAACGAGTGCTCCTTGTAAATTTACTCGAAGCTGGCGTACTGTGTTGATCTACAGATGCATACCTGAGCAGTATCTGTCGAAACCTGGGCATGACAGAAGGGTCAAAAGGCTTCGAGAAAGCGCCTAGTACGGAAGAGAGAGCCTCCTCTATACTGACGGCTACATCTTTGCCTGCTGAGTCTTCGCGAAGAGACCGAAATAAGAACTCTAGCAAGTCTAGTGACGGTTCAAGCAAGATCTTCTCGGGGGCAGCTTTGGCCAAGAGCCCAATAGTCTCGTATCCATAGCCTCGCAGCTCCATGTCCTGATCGCGATCCGGAGTGGGCCAGCCTTGGTCTTGTATGAAAGCTCTCAGATTTCCCACGAGACTTTCAGCAACCTGGGAAAGATCGGATGATTTGCCACGACGAGCGACGAAGTTGACAAGAGAGAAGATAGCTGAGCGATGCTTGGAGGCTTCTCTCCCCGCTGTCTTATTTGTCGCATTTAGTTCTGGCGAGAGAAGGCCTTCTTCGACGAGCCTAGCTATCTGCTGTGGATATGTAGTGCATCTGACAGACTTTGACAGAACGTTTAGTATCCGAATCTGTAGTGGTGTCTTTACAGGCAGCGAGCCGCTAGCAGAGTCTGAGCCAAAGTAGAGTTCGAACAGAACTTCCACAATTTGCGGTTGTTCGAGGTCCTTGGATAACATCACACGTTTCAGTGTATCTTCACCAACTTCTGATATCCGAGAATTGGTATCAGCGGACGCGAACAATGCGGGTAGAAATTTCTCATCCTCCTTGAACAGTCCACTTGCCATGAAGCGTGTGACTAGGGCCTTCGATTCGGCCAAGTTCAATCCTGCATCTGCGGTGGGATCCCAAGCGTCTGGCTTGCCCTGAAGCGTCAGAAACTTGTAGTCATCTGGAGACAAGCCCGGACACCGTAGCGAAGCTTGGGCTTGGGGGTTACTCTCTCGTACAATGCTCAGCATGAGCAGTTTTCCAAACCACTTCGAAAGGAAAGCCGCATCATCATCGGAGAGACCTAAAGTGGTTCTCAGCTCATCATCTTCTTTGCTGCCGCGAAGGGGAAGCTTGAAGTGGACCAAAAGACGGAGGATGAGATGGAATAGCTGAGAAGCATGCTGCTCAGACTTCTCATAGTCTTTTGCGATGCCCTGTAGCAGAATGGGAAGAAGCTCTAGTCGTTCGCCAACGGTAAGCCGGGATATACCCTGCTGGATGTAGAGAATGTCAAAATGCCGTATAAGAGAGACGTCAGGATTCTCTTTGTATTGCTTCAGCAGAGCGCTCACAGGGAGCTTGATGTCTCTGGGATGCCGCGTTAGTGCAAGGTCTTGTATTTGGACAAACTGGATTGCGTACTGTGACTTGATGCGGGTGTTGATGTGTTGGCATATGGAGATGACCTAGGAGAAGCCGCTATCAGCGGTGATCGAGATGGATGATGTCGAAATCTAAGCCGACTAGATGTGGGTCTTACCTTATTTCGTACAGCAACGCTATCAGACCCGAGTTTGAGTAGTAGTGGAGAGAGATAGGTTTTGAGCAAGTCTTCAAGCTTCTTGTCCGAGCTAGCGAGAGCAATGCGCATCTCCACCTTGCCGACTAGAGCAAGCTCTCTGGCTTCTGGTGTTTGTTCCGACGCCATGTTGAGATGTGCTGAGGGTATCGTGATGACGAGGCAATCAACAAACGAAAGTCTTATAAGAGACGCAACAGGCAGAGGCGGATGTTGCGTGGCTCATCGGCTTCGGGAAGGATAGATGACCAAGCGATGCAGTGTGTTAGCGTATTGCCCTGTTCGTCCGTGATTGCCACAAGTCGTGTCGGACATTCACTCTTGTGAGGCGACAGGGGTTGGGCGCACGGGTACCGGGATGACGCAGTCGCAACTGCCTGCAACAATCGCATCGCGTCTTCGACGTGCTTCTAACAACGTCGACGCCTTCGCCTGTCTCAGACACCTGCAACACCACCAGGCTAGTAATTTGCCCCTCTCATAACCTGAACTATTCCTTTTTTCCCATCCTCTCCCCGTGTACCAGCAGACAAGCCGAGCCGCGCCTGTCACAAGCCGTCCACGGTACCTGGAATCACATTGGTACTCAGCACCCAAACCTCACACCTTGTAGGACATTCACCGCTTCACCAAGTCGCGTCTATTCGCCTCACATACCATTGCCATACCTTTGTGCGCGTACCTCGATAGCTGTCGTCGGACTTTGATGGGTACATAAACTGCCCCACCACGGTTCTACCTCGATTACAGTCGCGACCGCCACACACAATTCCTGACACACGCTCGACGACCGAAATACCCTCTGCGACCCAATCAACGCATCCGAAATAGCACACCATCGTCATAAAGGCATCTGCTACCTATTTCACAGGTCAAAGAGACGCATTTCCCCGCCCAAACTCAATACCAAACTTAAACACCATAGAGCGGAACACATACACTCGCCCAAGATGGATGAGGAAAATGTTGCCAACTTCTGCGGCATCACGTCCTGCAGCACAGAGCAGGCTGCTCAGTACTTGCGCCTAACAGATGGCAACTTGGAGCAGGCCATACAACTCTTCTTCGACTCTCCTGGACTTGCCGATGCTCCTGCTGCGCCATCACAGCCCTCAGCAGCCGCCCCCTCCGCACAGAATCCCATCAATATCGACTCCGACGATGATATGGACTTTGATCCCGCACCACAAGGCAACGCGCCGTCCACACGAGCACAACCAGGCGTGGAAGACGATGAAGCCATGGCACGGAGGTTACAAGAAGAGATGTATGGCGGCGGCGCCGCCGGTGGCGCTGGGAACGATGAGATTCGCGCGCCCATAGAACGAAGAGTGGAAACACTTGTCGGCCCAGGCTCAAACTGGGGGCCTGCCGACGACGAAGAAGATCTTGATGCTATGGTCCAGGAGCAGCTTGCTCGTCGGCGGACAGGTATGCCACAAACCTCATATATACAATTTTCGGACTTTGCTGACCCATCTGATGAAGGCCGCGCCGGTATCTTCAACCAGCACACAACCCATACCAATGTCTGGGATAACACGACCGATTCAAGCACCCGGCGACGCGAGCTTGCGACCGCGACGGGCGGTGCTTCAGAGCAGTCTTCTAAGATGAACATGCTCGCAGAGCTATTCCGACCACCGTTTGAGATCATGTACCAAGGATCGTGGGAAAAGGCGCGAGATATGGGTAAGGACGAAGAGAAGTGGCTGCTTGTCAACATCCAAGACCCGGCAATCTTCGACTGCCAGCGCCTTAACAGGGACATCTGGAAGAATGACGATATCAAGGCAACTGTGCGAGAGAACTTCATCTTCATGCAGTATGCAAAGGATGATCAGCGTGGACAGCAGTACATGAACTACTACTTCCACGCCCGTGACAGTTCTGACGCTTACCCCCACATCGCCATCGTTGACCCACGAACAGGCGAGCAAGTCAAGGTCTGGTCGGGACCACCAATACCCGAACCAGTTGAGTTCCACGCTCAGCTTCATGAGTTCCTCGACCGTTACAGCCTCAATGTCAACGCGAAGAACCCCGTAGCGAAGCGCAAGTCTGAGTCTAAGAAGAAGGATGTTGGTCGCATGACAGAAGAGGAGATGCTGGAGATGGCGCTACAAAACAGCATGGATAACGGCAAGGGGCCGAAGGACGATGACCCAGATGCTCTCACCAAGTCTACAGACAACATCAAGGGCAAGGGCAAGGCCGAAGACGTCGCTTCTGAGCCGCCAGCCGAGCCCGAGGCAGCTGCTTCAAATCCTGTCTTCGCTGCGATCTCCGCACATGCTCCTCATACCGAGCCTACCGTTACTGACCCCAAGGTCACGACTCGCATCCAGTTCCGTGGCCCGTCAGGTCGTCCCATTGTGCGCCGCTTCAACCTTACAGACCCTGTTCGCCGTGTCTACGAATGGATCAAGTCCGACGTGCCCTGGGAAGGCAAGCAAGGAGCTGAGTTCGATCTGGCGTTCATGGGCAAGAACCTCCTCGACCACGTCGACGACACGGTCGAAGCCGCCGGACTCAAGGGTGCCAGTGTTATGGTAGAGTTCTTGGATAATGAGTAGTCAATGGATGTGACTTCTAGTATCCTTGGGTCGTTGACACGGCCATCAGGTATGATGAGCTTGCGTACTGCTTATAGGCATACGAGAGATACGAGTAACGAAATATGCACTTAGATGTTTCTACGCATCACCCGCTTGGGCGGGATCCTGGGGTCTATAGATCTTTCTTACATCGTCACCACTTGACCGTGTGTGGTCCTATACCCTTGCATTCTGTGGGCACCTTACGTTGTAGTCCTGCTAGCTTAAGTGTTGAAATAGAAAAAACACTTTGTTCTGAGTTTTGACTGGTACTGATTTGCCTTGGGTGAAATGCGAAGCATGGAGAAGATGACGACTACCAATGTATAATGCTACCCTATAATCTCTCTAGCCACCTGTCGTAAGCCTCGTTACATATCATCCGCATTCAAGAGGCTAAGCGAAAGCCTGCTAGTAATTCGAACTCTCACCGCCCATGTCAACATCGTCGTCTTCATCCACTTTGAGGATTTTGACATCGTCGTATTCGGCGTCTATGTCCACATCCTCATTCGGCTTGAACACCATAGGTGAATCGAACTTTTCTTTTTCCATGCATTGCACTTCTTCCTCATTGGAGCCAAAAGTCTGCTGCTTGTCATCCGTAACCGAGCTCATAAAGGCATCTCTGTTTCCGCTCGGTGTGAACGTTGGCTCTTCGCCATGCGCGCCTGACTCAGAGCCGACCATGTTTCTACCGTAGATGTCCATCCGGTCTGGGTCACTGTCGTACCAACCGTCTTCCTCTTCCTTCGAGTCGAATAGGTACTTGCGTTGTTCTATCTCGGCGTCGTCTGAATGGTTTGCCGTTTTCTCAAGATCCCGTGGGTCGACGAAGGACTTGGATTTGGTATGCCCCTGCTTCACATTCTGTCTGTCGTTTTGTTCCGCTCGTTCCATGACGTGGTCAAGGTCCATGTTGGACGGAGCTTTGTCATCGCCCACCACGGAGTCCTTTTCACTTTGTAGAGGGCTGTGGTTATCGCGTGTAGAATCGTTGTCGTCTTGGGTGTCCTGCCCTAACGCACACATTGTCACATTGGACAACGTGGCTGGGGCTGTTACTTCTGCCCTTTCTCCAGTTACCTCACCGGATCCATCTGTATTGGTGACTTGTTCTGCTTCATCTAGTACCTTAAACTGTGAGTACAGCAGTTTCGCATATTCGTGGTCTCCTTTCTCTTGGGCTTCTCGCTCCTCAGCCTCGAGCTTTATTGCCATTCCAGCATCTGCAGGGTATTCGATAGCTACGTTTTCCTGCTCAACATCTTTGTGCTCTCCAGAGTCGTCGGTATCCATATTCGAGACTGCATTGTCATCGTGCTCAGCCCTTTCCCTGGCAGGAACGCCCCGGAGGGGATCCGGGTCATCGAACCACGTGCTGGAACCGTAGTACTGTACATGCAATCTCTCGCGCATAGCTCGGTATTGTTCCCACAAACTTTTCGGGGGAGGCTCTGTATGCAAGTGGGATTTGAAATTTCCCTGAACATCTAGTAGGATGAGTTGGCCGGCGTGAGAGCGACCCGTTCGGGAAGTGTCTTCCGTGAGCTGCTCCTCGCCCTTCGTTTTGGTAGAGTCTTCTTCGTTGGGCGACTGTGCATCCATTTTAGGCTCGTCGTTCGTTTCCCAATCATTAGCTGCAACATTCCGTTCACCGCCAGGAGGTTCAGTTTCAGGTTCGAGACTGGATTGCACGGCTCTTTCCAGCTCTTCTGAATCGACATCCATCTTAGGACCAGCAGAATCTAAAGCCTTCTGGTCGGCCATTTGGTCTTCGAAGTGAAAATATAAAGCTTCCTTTAGATTGTAATTGAAAATTGCAAGTACTTCCTTGGCGTGGTCGACACTGGCGAAAGTAACGGAGCAGAATTCCCGCATAGCGTCAAGGTTGCTTTCACTCAGACATGTAGGCTCATCCTTGGTTATTGGCGTATCTTGGTCATGTTCCGCAGGCATATGTTCGTTCTCTCCCGTCGATATACGCTCCTCTTGCTCCACCGGCGTATACTGGACTTGTACCTTGAGCGACTTTGGAGACGAAGTTGAAGATCTGGCCGTATCGGATGCTTCAGAGGGTTTGGTGATCTCATATTGTATTTGTTTGATCAGATTGTCCCTCTCTATAGTCAGCAAAGCCTTTTTTCTTCCAAAAGCTTTGCTATCTGCATCATCTAGATTGTCGGGGCTGCATAAGTAGTCAAACTCGTCGAGAATCTCCCCAAATTGATTGAGAAGGCGGGTTTGCTCGTCCGGAAGTTTGTGTCGTTGCAATCGCAACTGCCGACCATGCAGCTCATTTTTGAGGAAGCAGAGGATCTCGTCGTCATCATCTTTCTTTTTGAGTAACTTCAGATTCATCTCGATAGCAATGCTTCTCGCCTCCTGGCTCGTTCTCTGGCTTGCGCTAATGGCGCCTTCTCCCCAAGTCTCCTCAGTCTCTGGATAGCCTATCTGATTGGTAGCAGTTGCTAGAGACTCTTCGAGTAACTGCAGAGACCTGGTGTCAAAAGTCATCTTGCTCCATGCCAATCTTGCTGTCTCAAACATGTACGACCAGCGAATCTTGTTCTGCTTTCCTGGCTGCTTGCGTACCCTGTCGAACCTGTCCCAACAGATCGGCGGAATTCTCTGACCATCGTGTACGACTGTCTGTCCGAGTAGCGATACAACCGACGCGAGGACTGGGCCGTTGTACTGTAATGTGTACGATTAGCGTCATTTCGATCACAACTCGATGCTTAACCCAACATACCGCGTCTCCTCCGTGCAAGCCAGAGTGAAACTTTACAAGATTCGCAGGCCCATGTATGCAGTAGACAAAGTCGTGTGAAGTACGTAAGAAGTTGCGGATGTAAACGATGCAGCATGTGGCTCTGGTGCTAACTTCGTCAGATGGTTTGTTGTATGCTTCAATCTCATCGCTGCGGTAGGGTGAGTGGGACCACTCTGCGCGGAGTCTATAGAAGTTATTCGATGCACAGCTTCCATGACTGAACCTGTTAGCTGGTGACTGCAACAGCGACGGCTATGTTACTCATCAATCCATATGTTGCACAAGTCCTAATTGAATGCGTCTTCAGTCTCTCGTGCTTTGTCGCATTTGGATGGGAACCTGCCAGTCGTCTCGAGCGGCGCCATTGCAGTTGTGAAGAATATATCGGCATGTGTAAGCGATAGTAACACTGCAATGGTGGTAATGGGATAGCTGAAATGATTAGCGATAGCGAACTATTGCCTCTGGTGAGAGTGACTGAGCCAAGAAAACAGTTACTGGAAGGTAAGCAAGGACCCTTGAAGGTACGCAACAGCACCACATAGCTAAAGCTCTTGACTGCTTTGGTAGGGAAGGAGGCACCATCAGCATTCGTGAGCTAGGTGCTGCGAAGGCAACAGCAGTCTCTATCACAATATTCCAGCCCTCAATGCTCCTTCATGATCTTCTCGTCTCCAATTCGCTGGGTGAAGGTTACCGTTCTGTCCTTGATCCTCCAGATACCACTTGCACCGCGCACACCATCGAAGTCACTTTGCTTCGTTTCTAGCATTACCATGTCGTCCACGTACTTGCCATACGCGCATAGCATCTTGCCCTCGTGAGGGCCTTGTCCGAACTGCAAAATTTAGTACTCAAATCCAAGCGTAGGCTGAATACATATTCGTATGCGACACGCTAAGTTGTCACGCAATCCAAGCGCATACACGAGACTTTGAGCGTGTGTAGATTGCACCAATCGAGCTGAGACTGAGAACTGAAGCAGAGCACTTACGTGAACTCCTTGGAAATATGTTACTACCCGGGCCGTCTGCGCATCGGATCTGAATGTGATGGTCTGTGTGGTGAGGTTGTGATGTGTTCGGATTGGTCCAAGGCTGTGTATCGTCAGACATCATCCTTGCCGATCTACGGAGGTTGAACCTACCGGTTCTTAATCGCATCCTTCAGTTCGTCAAGGCTCTGTATGGCTTCATTGAAAGGGTAGCTGGCTTCAACGTCCGGTACGAAGACCTTGCCCAGCAGATCGAAGTCCTTCAGATCCAGAGCCTGACAATACCGCGATACGACGTTCTTGATGGCCAAGACATCCAATGGGTTGATATCTGACATGGTGTACGGTCTTGTCTTTCGTGTATCTAGCCCATGAGATAGGAAAACGTTCAAGGATTATAACCTGCTTCTCTCGGAACCCCGCTTTAGAGAGCCGGAGCCTGTAAGGAGGGCGGTAAAGTGGGTTTCTACTTTTGGTTCAGTACCAGGCATTGCTACGGATTGCTCGATGCACTCGCGATCCAGACGTGCTGTCCCTGTGTGTTTTTACATCACGCTACTGTAGATAACCAAGATTCATACGGAAGGACAGCGCACATATCGCAGGCGGCAGGTCATTGTGCCATCTTGGAGCGGCAAAACATGACAAGAAAAAGCTGTACCATCCAGATATATAGGTGTGGTCACTGTCAATGGAGGCCATAGCGAAGTCTGCTGGTTGGCGAAGACGCAGATACAGAAGAGCGAAAGGGGCGGGGTCCTCGCAAGCAGTCCTGATTGGTCACAATGACCCAGTTGCCAAATGCGGCAGGTTTGATGCACCTGTAGATGGCAGCACCAGAAACTCAAGTGAACACAATGTCTAACCTAACGCCATCTTTGTCTGAAAATGATTTTCGCGCCAACATGCTGTCGACATCATTTGCGCCCTGATGTCGTCTCAGAGCTGTAGCGGTATCTCAACTGACTTTGGATGAATCATGTGTTGGGACAGTACATGGCGTGTGTGCCGAGAAAGGATGATGACTATGCACTCCCGATATGTCAAAGAGAGTTCGTTGAGCCTGATGCTTTTCACTCAAAGTCGCTGGAATCGATGGCTCGAGCCCCTACTTGCCCGTTTAAGAAAGCTAGGTAGATGACGTACCTGCCCGGTCTGGTCGTGCCTTGGTCGTACACGGCAACTTTCTTCTTCCAACCTCCTCATATTCGCCATGCTATGTCTTTGCGCCCATGCAATCATTAACACATACTGGACCTACGCGTCTTGCCAGATTAGGTGATGACTGAGGTTCGTTCCGCACCATCCATGTAGCAGTAGCTGCGGCAAAGACGCGTATTTCCTCCCGTTAGGATTCCCGCATGCCACCTGCATATCACCCCAGCCAGCCCCTCAGAACACATGAATGAGGCGTGATATGCGCCGACTCGCCTAAACTTCGCTCACAGTCCTCAAACAGTCCTAGCTAATCAACTAGGGTCGTTTCGTAAGCAAAGTTTTGATTAATTCGCAGCTGCTCAGACAGGTGTTTTGCTTGGTTCGGTGGAGGCACTCAATATGTTCACACGCGCCGAGGGTAGGCATCCACCACAGCGCGAATACGATAAGCCTGACCTGTCACAGTGTTGCAGCTGCAGTGACGAGCGTTCCCCAGAACGACAACTTTCCTTGTCTTTGCACCCTGTATGCCAGTATGACATGGGTTTACCCCTCATGGAGGACGAAGGACATGCAGCCAGTGTGGGGTGGGTGGGCGAAGAGGAGTCCTGTCGAGCAATATAATCATCTCTAGCGGCTCGTTTTGCTTTCATCCCTCTGTTCTGTATTCTTCTTACCATTGATCAACAGTTTGCGCACGCAAGTCGTGGGCATGATGGCAGTGATGGATACGACAGATCTTGTTGCGAAGGCTCTCAACGCAAGTATCGCTACGCTTGTGATACTCTTGACAGCAATACTTGGTCGAATCTTCTACATGCAGAAACTGCATCCTCTTTCAAAGTTCCCAGGGCCATGGTATGCGTCCTCATTCTCTGTCTTTGGGGCCATAGTCTCTGTATTGCACAAAGAGCCTCAGTTCTTTATGTACTTGGTAGAGAAATATGGAAGTAAGCGGCCCCCGAGTTCCCTACAGCCGTAGGTTCTAACCACAAGCGTAGCGGACAGCCCTATTCGCATCTCTCCTACGATGCTGCTCTTCCCCAAACCTTCCGCCCTCAAGGACATCTATCGAGATCCGCAATGCAACACAAGGGGCGGCATGTATGATAGTGGGGCTTTGGGTCCCCCGCATTTGGTTTCTACGATAGACGGCGAGAAGCATCGTGTCTTACGCAAAGCTTTGTCGAATGCGCCATGGTCTATTGGTCCACTGAAGAATGCATGGGAACCTCGCTTCGATGAACAGGTTTCTCTTCTTATCAAGAAGCTGAAAGAACATGCGGAAGCTAAGCGCACCATTTGCCTCTCCGACAAGGTTGCGGAATTTGCGGCAGACATCCTCAGCATCATCTCATTCACCCAACCCTTTGGTAGTGTCGAGAATCAGCGCGATGAGAAGTATCTATTGACCAACTGGCGCAAGGGCCTGACATTCTTCGGCTTCTCGGGGAGGTGTCGATTCTTCAGGGAAAGGATCCTGCGACTGCCTATTGTAGGTTCCTTGCTACTACCAACTACATCCAATGATTATGGAATGGGCTGGTTGATGGGCGAAGCAGACCGTCAAGTTACCAGGCGGGAGCAGCAGAACAAGGAGAAACCATTTGATGGGAGGCCAGACTTTCTGCAACAGTAAGTATACAACATGTGCCTGACTACTGCTCTGTACTCATCGCGTTTAGCTGCCTTGATGCCCGTTACTCAGATGGCTCTCCACTGACTCCAACCCAAAAGCGTGCTCATGTCACACTTCTCTATCAAGCTGGAGCAGACACCACTGGTACGGCGCTAGGATGTATCCTTCGACTAATCTTGACAGACCCTTCTACGCTTGCACGTGTTCGGGCTGAGCTGGATGCAGCAGAGTCGTCTGGTCTTCTATCAACACCCATCCGTTATGACGAGACCCTCCAGCATCTCCCGTTCTTTGTCGCATGCATCAAAGAAGGTCTTCGCCTCTTTCCACCGGCCCCCAATCTGTTCCCTAGAGTGATACCAAAAGAGGGTAAAGTCATCGATGGACATTATGTACCTAGTGGAATGGATGTAACCAGCCATGCATATATCGTCCAACGTGACAAAGACTTCTACGGGCAAGATGCTGAGGACTTTAAGCCTGATATGTGGTTGCAGAGCGAGAAGAGAAACTTTGAGCTGGAGGCGGCTCAGTTTACATTCGGTATCGGAGCCAGAATATGTCTCGGCAAAGATGTTGCAAAGTTAGAGATGTACAAGTTGTTACCAGAGGTGAGTTCCCCGTACAAAGCCGTTCAGCGATCTAATTCGCTGACCTGCAAGATCATTCGTCGATTCGACATCCAAGTCAAGAATTCCGGTAGCTATATCGTTGATGGCGGGGTGGCTTATAACGTCGACTTTCTGGTTGAGTTGACTGCTAGAAACTCCGTCTAATGAGCCTCAGCCATCTGAACGATAGTTCTCAGGTCGGTCATACAGGTTGTCAGTGTTGCCGTGAGGTGTATGGAGTGGGTATCGAGCGGATAAAGAGGCTAAAAGGCTATCCGAAAGAATCCCTTCCCCCGCCAACTCAGCAGATACCAAGCCCATCGGCCTTGCTTTTAACGATCTTTAATTTCTCCGATATGTCTTGCATGTTCCACACACGTTGTACATGCTTGTGCCAGATCTGCCCAGTATGATCGCCACTATGGAAGACAGCTATACGGGTATCGCAATCTATATAAAACATGTCAAGGCGGGTATTTGCATCGTATCTCGAGATCATCAGATGGAAACCCAGGTTGGAATCACCTATCAACTGGGATGATGGATTGGCTATTTAGAGTCGCTCCCCCAACTACCATTATGGAATGCACGAACAATCCTCACAATGCATCTACCTACACTCAGTGCTCTTCTTGCCTTTGGTAGCATCGCCGTATGCACGCCTCTCGACCCTCGGCAGCAAACAGCTACAGCGCTTGATGCTGCCATCAAGGCGCGAGGCCGTTCGTACATCGGCACTTCTTTGACGATCCGCAATGACAACACCGAGCAAAACATCATCCGCAGTGCGGAGTTTGGTTCCATTACGCCCGAGAATGCGATGAAGTGGGATGCCACAGAACCCAACCGGGGTCAGTTTAACTGGGGAAGTGCAGATGCTATCGCGAACTTTGCGACCCAGAACGGAAAGCAGGTGAGTCTTCTGCATCATCACACAACCTCCCATGGAAGTCTGAGCTGATCATTGGCGTAGATGCGCTGCCATACGTTGGTTTGGTACAGTCAACTGCCGGGCTGGGTAAACCAAATCAACAACAATGCTACACTGATGAGCGTAATGGAAAACCATATCAAACAGGTCATGGGGAGATACAAGGGAAAGTGCACTCACTGGGACGTCGTCAATGAAGGTAGGAAGATTGATAAAACGAGATAACCGAAAGAAAGTAAGGAATAGCCAGCTAATCACACAACAGCTCTCAATGAAGATGGTACAAACAGAGACAACGTCTTCCTCCGTGTAATTGGGGAGCAGTACCTTCCCATTGCCTTCCGCATGGCCGCAGCTGCCGACTCATCGGCAAAACTCTACTACAACGACTACAACCTCGAATACGGCACGGCCAAGCACCTCGGCGCCCTCCGAATTGTCAAACTCGTGCAATCCTGGGGTGTCAAGATCGATGGCGTGGGTCTACAGGGTCACCTGGTTTCTGAGCCGACTGGCACTCAGAGCGAAGTAACACCGAGTGTTGCTGTATTGACCAAAGTGCTGCAAGATTATGCGAACCTAGGTGTCGATGTTGCGTATACGGAGCTCGACGTACGATCCCGTACCCCGAGCAATACGCAGAAGTTGGCGGATGCGGCAGCAGCTTGGGCGAGAATTGCCCAGAGTTGCATCAATGTGCAACGTTGTGTTGGCATGACTATATGGGTAAGCTACTTTTGTTGCATTCACAGTCTGTTTGGCTTGGAGATTTTGCGCTGACTTGTTGGACTCTAGGGTATCGCGGACAAGTATTCTTGGGTTCCAGGTACTTTCAACGGAGAGGGGTCTGCATTGCTGTGGACGGATAACTTCCAGAAAAAGCCCGCTTATACAGCGTTCTTGGACGTTTTGAACGGGAAAAACGTGACGACGGTGTAAAGTGGGGGAAACGCTTTGGAGGATCTGCTCGGAAAAGAGAAAGAGTGCTCATACACACAGATGGCTAGGTAAATCCAGTTTGTACACCCTCTTCCACTATTCACTCAACCCCAATTGACCTTAAAACATCATCTTTATTGTCGTGCCTTGTTTCTCTTCTAACCCTTCCCGTATATAGCAGCTCCATCTACAGCTGCTTACCCACCACCCTGTCAAAATGCTTGAAGCAGAATTGTCCTCCAACAAAACAAGTTCCTACCCACTTCCACCACGCTGCACTCATGAAGCCAACACCGTGCTCTTTCAGTCGCTTCATAAACATGACCGTCTCAACTGCATGCGCGCCAAAAAGGAAGTAAAACAAGCCAGCTTGGATCCATCGCCCGGCTGTAGCAACGTTCTCCGGGAGTGGTGAGCCGAAATTGTCAGGGCGGAACATGGCCGGTACAGGAGCGGCAGAGAGCGCCATGACAACGCCGCAGATGATGATGGGTTTGAGATGTGGGTGCGAAGGTGGCGTGTAAGTGTTGCGGAGGTTTTTCGGCGCCATGGTCGGTGATGATTTGTGTATCGTCTTGGTGGCTGGACAGTTTGTTGAATTGTTGTTTGATGCTATCAATGAAGGTAGTTTTTTGGTCCTGAAAACTTGATGCTATACTAAACAGATCCGCAAGATGCCGAGGTATCCATTTCCGCCAAGACTCCAGCTTGAATGCTTTCTCGATAGGACAGTCGCTTCCAGCGAGTCATCGTACAGACGTTCAATCCATGAACCTACCACCTCTATGCCTTCTACCACAGGTTAGAGGTAAAGACATCAAGCTCATGGGTCCTTTACCGACCCTGGCCGGCTCAACTACTAAGAGTGGGGCGGTTTTCCGTATATGGCAGGCTGACATTTCGACTGTAGATTACTGGAACGGCTGCAAACGTATACTTAGCCTGTTGATTATGCAGTAGATTGCGATCACATGAAGCGCTAAGGGTCCTCTTTAGGAGCTTCGGACGCGGCGTTGAGAGTAGTGGGTTGCTAGGAGTTGGGGCCGTTCATGCAGCCGTGTGGCACGGGGTCGAAGCAGGAGAACTTTGGAAAGAGAGATGGTAGCGAAGGCTAGGGACGGCACGAAGCTCTCCCACGATTCTGCCGAACGTCAAGGGTTGAAGCGTCGATTGTAGATGTTGTGTCATTGTGCTCTCCTTCTTCGCATGTGAGTGAGGAGAGGGTGTGGAGTCCACAAGGAACCGGTTTCCTTTGAAGTTTGGTACCATCATGCACCAGCGCTTGGTGCGGAGCCGCAGAACGCCTTCCACAACACAGTTCTCTCACAGTCTTTACTTAACAAAGCCTTTGGAAGCTTCCAAACCTCCTGCTTCCACAAAACCAACACTAGATCCCGAATCGCAGGGAGTCTTTTGCTGTAGCAGTGACGCCGGTGTTCAATAGCTCGCTCATTTCCACCAACCCAGCCCAAGCCAACTTTACCCCTCCAAAGTACCTAGGTACCTTGCTGCAGCTCAAGGATCTCACTTTCCCTATTCCTCCCACACCTTTTCTTTTAATCCACACCATTGCATGCCTTTCAATACAACGACAACAGGGAACAACCTAACAACTTGACACCACGCGGCTCGATGCCAATATGTACCGGGTAAGTGTACCGGTGTGACAATCCACTCTCCAGCGCAAGCAACCCGGTTTTGAGCCAATTACGGCGCGCCACTTGCCACATCCCGTGCAGCAGTGCCGGTACGCTGCGCTGCGACTCGCTTTTTTTCTCGTCTAGAGATGTTCATGGATCAAGGTGGTTGTGTTGCAGCAATCGATAGAAAAGCTGTAGTTGCTTGATGGGGCAAGTGGGTGGGTTGGGTTAAGTTGAGTCGTGCAGGCATGGTGTCTTATTTGCTTGGTATAAGGGTAGTAAGACCTGTGGGCAAGCGAGTTGATTGAACAAGACGGAGGACCCGGAATGTTCCGAGCACGCATTCCTTCTGTATGCTTCAAAGGGATGCGTGACTTTCAGGAAACTTCAGAAGAGGCTTGTCGTGGAATGTATCTGGTGGATGTATATACAAATGGTGGATCGATTACGCTGCTATAATTCAGATTGTAGTACTTTGTTCTTTTTCACCAATATTACAGCGAGAAGTACATTACGAAGTTGGCACAGTCCACTATACAATGCACTCTCTGCTACATCTTCATCTGGATCTTCATTGTCAAACAGCCCCAAGTCCCTCTTATCCTTTTCTAATAAGTCGAGGTTGTTTTGCTTTTTTCCATCACCGTAGCTCATTAGTCTGGTACGCGCCAAGTTCAGCCATCATTAACCGCATTCTCCATCAACTCCATAATTTCAATGTTGGCGTAGCTACAGCCGATTTGTGGCGTTCGGGAAGTGGTTTTGAAACTGTCGTTCGGATCGAAAGAAGGCTTGTGACAGGATTTGAGATAGGACTTGTAGTAGGACCGATAGTGCAGTTTGACTGTAGTGCACGGTACCATCTTGTATCGTCTGAAAGAGAGCGAAAGGAAGGAAATTCTGACGCATCGAAGAAGGGCCGCATTATGTAGTTGAGAGGTCCAAGAGCGTCCAAAATGATGTATGCGAAACAAAATCGTAAATAATGGTAGCTAGTAGGACAGTTAGGGAAACCAGGGAAGATTCCCTATATAACTTGCATCATGTGTCTGAATCATGAGAGACATTCGAGGCTCCGTGGAGCTGGAACGTAATGGGCAAACAAGAGGGGCTGAAGAACAATAGTAAGACATTGGGTGGCGTTTAGAAATCTTGGAAAGGGTTTCCTGTGGCAAGCGAGCGATGCATCTAGAGTCGTCAAGAAAAGATCCTACGTCTGAGCGTTGGGAAGACCGACAATCGAGAGACAAACATAATGAGAATCGGGAACTCAAATGAAGGACATGATTTACATTGTTCAGGCCGTACCTTGGTATTAAGTCACTTCCAATGGCATCCTCGACCTATTCGCCTCTGGACGCGACAGGCAATAGATCCTCTGACGCAGCTATCGACCCTTCCAAAGCCTTTCGAAACGCCCAAAAGTAACACAGCCAATCAATACCCGATATCGCACGTTGTGACGTCCTCTACGAAATGCTTCTCCCGATAACTCCTCGTCCACCAAAGATACCATGGCACAACATTCATCTTGATCTTATGCCCTAACCAAGGCGTATCCTGCACCGTCTTGACAACACTTTGACTCTCATCGAAAGCAGTATCGATTCTTGCACGTCTTAGAGATTCATACGCGTCAAAAGCTTCCTTGACAGGTACGCCTTCGTCACGTTTCTCTTCGATCCATTTAGCCAAGCAGCGCGAGAACAAGACACCATCTTCGAAGACAATGCCTGTAGATTCGCCTTGTGGAGGCATGGCGTGTGCGGAATCTCCAATCAACATAACACGGTCAGTAGCCCATTTGCCCCCTTTGGAAAGAGTGAACACCGGCCAGAGATACAGACCCTCTGCGTCTTCAATCCAGTGTGCAATCTGTGGGTTCGCAGCACCAGAGTAGCGATCGAGCATTTCATTGCGGATCTTCTGCACATCTGCTCCTGCTGCTTTCCAGCCGTTCCGGTCAGCGATCTCGGGGACTTGCATCAGTGCGCCTACGTAGATGCTTTCTTGGGCTTGGTCGTGGAAGGACGTCAACATCATGCCGCGACGACCAAAGTTCATGCCGCTGACTTCGAAATGTGTAGGCTCATAGTCTTGACTGGAGTCCATCTTTCGCCGGGGTGCAAAGCCAAAGGCGTTGCATATGCCGCTGTACATTGCTTTCCGCTCGGGCTCGACGTGCTTGAGGCGGGTGACGCTGTGGATACCGTCACATCCGATAAGTATATCCGCCTTTGCGCTTCCTCCGTCTTCGAAGTCGATGCTCACACCAGTGTCGCTTTCATTGATCTTGACCGTCTTCTTGCCGCATGTGAGCTTGATATTTGGATGTTTCTCGATGGCAGCAAGCACGCCTTTGAGCGCTTCTCCTCTCGTGATTCTCAAAGCGGTGAATGGAGGATCACCCAGTCCCTTTCCGTCTGGTCCTCTGAATGAGCTTTCTGCTATCTTGACGTTGGTGTAGAGGTCGAAAACTTCGACTGCAAGACACTCTGCGCCATAATTTTTGGCGCGGATCTCATCAAGAGCCCCGAGATGTGAAAGCAGACGTAAGGCGTTGGGTGTGAGGTTTACAGCACCGCCGATAGTTGCAGGCTCTGGCCTGATCTCAAAGATGGTGATGTTTGGTGTGGACGAGGCAGGAGCAAACTTGGTGAGGGAAAGGGCGGTCGTTAGGCCGGCTATGCCGCCACCTAGGATGATGATATCCATCGGCTTTGGGAAAGCCATAGCAGAACGCGTTGAATATACTTTTACTAGTGTATTATTGGAAATACTAGATCGATGAAATGTATGGCTTCGGGTGGACTAGTCGATGGTTTGTCGCTAGAAAGCAGTTGAGGCTTGTGATAAGGTTCGAGCACAAAGAGCTTTAGATATACATGTTATATCGGAGCGGTGTCCAGACATCGGACTTAGATCCCATCTTCGTGTATCTGCGGATGCATGCCTTAGCGCTGACTGCATACGTGAGTGGTTGTTCCGGCATGTCGAGTTCTCGGTAAAGGGTTGGGGAACCGGTCAGGTAACATCATCAGTCTAGCACGCCCGAACGGCCCGGCAGCGTGCATTGAAATCCACACTTCGAGTTTGGTATATGCAGGGTTTCTGCTATCAGCATGGCAAGATCTCAGATAACAACACAGCCTGGGTACTACAATGTTGGTATTTCGCTACAGACCCAAAGCCACATGAACGCCGGTTCCTCATGCCTACTAACTTACAAGATATACATTGCGCGCCGACAAATTCCATGATGCATTCCAAAGACGTCTACTGCTTCTTCTGCGCGTTGGGACCCATCTCCTTGCTAAAGGCAAAGTATGAAACCTCGAGACTGGTAAGGGCTCGGATGCC